CCTCACCGCCCCTCCCATCCCCAAGGTTGAACCCATCTGCCAATCTTCACCCAGCCCTTAGCGCTGTATGAACCCCAACGGGTTTAGCGGTTCTCCTCCCTCCCCCTTACGAACGAGGGAGAGGTAGAGCCGTACGGGAGCTACATCGCCTTATGAATACGAAGCAGATCTGAGGCGAGGAACTAGAAGGAGATAGATCGTAAAAATAACCAGGTATCAGTACCAGGCGTCAGTACCAGGCGTCAGTACTAGGTGTCAGTACCAGGCGTCAGTACCAGGCGTCAGTACTAGGTGTCAGTACCAGGCGTCAGTACCAGGTATCAGTACTAGGTGACAGTACCAGGCGTCAGTACTAAGTGTCAGTACCAGGCGTCAGTACTAGGTGTCAGTATCAGGCGTCAGTACCTGGCATCAGTACTAGGTGTCAGTACCAGGCGTCAGTACTGTCAGTACCAGGCGTCAGTACTGTCAGTACCAGGCGTCAGTACCAGGCATCAGTACTAGGTGTAAGTAACAGGTGTCAGTAACAGGTGTCAGTAACAGGTGTCAGTACCAGGCGTCAGTACCAGGTAACAGTCGTCTGCAAATGACAGATTCAAATGAAGCTGAACATCGAAAAGTGGCAGTAAGAAGCCACGAGTGTTGAGCCTTGTGTACCAGGTGGAAAGTGTTGTAGTCCTGGTGGAAAGTGTTCTTGTCCAGGTAGAAAGTGTTGTTGTCGAGGAGGAAAGTGTTGTTGTCCAAGTAGAAAGTGTTGTTGTCCAGGTAGAAAGTATTGTTGTCCAGGTAGAAAGTGTTGTAGTCCTGGTAGAAAGTGTTGTTGTCCAGGTAGAAAGTATTGTTGTCCAGGTAGAAAGTGTTGTAGTCCGGTGGGAAAGTGTTGTTGTCTAGGTAGAAAGTGTTGTTGTCCAGGTAGAAAGTGTTGTTGTCCAGGTAGAAAGTGTTGTAGTCCTGGTAGAAAGTGTTGTTGTCTAGGTAGAAAGTGTTGTTGTCCAGGTAGAAAGTGTTGTAGTCCAGGTAGAAAGTGTTGTAGTCCAGGTAGAAAGTGTTGTTGTCTAGGTAGAAAGTGTTGTAGTCCAGGTAGAAAGTGTTGTTGTCTAGGTAGAAAGTGTTGTTGTCAGGTAGAAAGTGTTGTTGTCCAGGTAGAAAGTGTTGTAGTCCTGGTAGAAAGTGTTGTAGTCCTGGTAGAAAGTGTTGTAGTCCTGGTAGAAAGTGTTGTTGTCCAGGTAGAAAGTGTTGTTGTCCAGGTAGAAAGTGTTGTTGTCCAGGTAGAAAGTGTTGTAGTCCAGGTAGAAAGTGTTGTTGTCTAGGTAGAAAGTGTTGTTGTCCAGGTAGAAAGTGTTGTTGTCCAGGTAGAAAGTGTTGTAGTCCAGGTAGAAAGTGTTGTAGTCCAGGTAGAAAGTGTTGTTGTCCAGGTAGAAAGTGTTGTGTCCAGGTAGAAAGTGTTGTTGTCCAGGTAGAAAGTGTTGTAGTCCAGGTAGAAAGTGTTGTTGTCTAGGTAGAAAGTGTTGTTGTCCAGGTAGAAAGTGTTGTTGTCCAGGTAGAAAGTGTTGTAGTCCTGGTAGAAAGTGTTGTAGTCCAGGTAGAAAGTGTTGTAGTCCAGGTAGAAAGTGTTGTTGTCCAGGTAGAAAGTGTTGTAGTCCTGGTAGAAAGTGTTGTAGTCCAGGTAGAAAGTGTTGTTGTCCAGGTAGAAAGTGTTGTAGTCCAGGTAGAAAGTGTTTATGTCCAGGTAGAAAGTGTTGTAGTCCTGGTGAAAGTGTTTGTTTGTCCAGGTAGAACGTGTTTTTGTCCAGGTAGAAAGTGTTGTAGTCCTGGTAGAAAGTGTTGTAGTCCAGGTAGAAAGTGTTATATTCCGGGTAGAAAGGGTTTATATCACGTAAGTGTTTTTATACGTCACGCAGTAGCTGTTATGTCTCTTAGCTGTAGGTGTTATATATGACGTAGGAACCGCAACATACTATGTATGTGTTATATATGACGTAGGAACCGCAACATACTATGTATGTGTTATATATGACGTAGGAACTGTTATATACTGTATAGGAGGTATTATGTGTGATGTAGGAGCCGCTACATATTATGTATGTGTTATGTATCACGTAGGAGCCGCTACATACTATGTATGTGTTATATATCACGTAGGAGCCGCTATATACTATGTCGGTGTTATGTATCACGTAGGAGCCGCTACATACTATGTATGTGTTATGTATCACGTAGGAGCCGCTACATATTATGTATGTGTTATGTATCACGTAGCAGTCGCTACATACTATGTATGTGTTATGTATCACGTAGGAGCCGCTACATACTATGTATGTGTTATGTATCACGTAGGAGCCGCTACATATTATGTATGTGTTATGTATCACGTAGACCTGGGAGTGATTATGTCGGAGGATCTCACCTTCAAGGACCATAACATTGTATCAATCGCATCTGCTAGAAAAATGACAGGATGGATAATGAGAACCTTCAAAACTAGGGAGGCCAAGCCCATGATGACACTCTTCAGGTGTTCTATCTAGGCTGGAATATTGCTGCACACTAACAGCACCTTTCAAGGCAGGTGAAATTGCCGACCTAGAAAATGTACAGATAACTTTCACGGCGCGCATAACGGAGATAAAACACCTCAATTACTGGGAGCGCTTGAGGTTCCTAAACCTGTATTCCCTGGAACGCAGGCGGGAGAGATACATGATTATATACACCTGGAAAATCCTAGAGGGACTAGTACCGAACTTGCACACGAAAATCACTCACTACGAAAGCAAAAGACTTGGCAGACGATGCACCATCCCCCCAATGAAAAGCAGGGGTGTCACTAGCACGTTAAGAGACCATACAATAAGTGTCAGGGGCCCGAGACTGTTCAACTGCCTCCCAGCACACATAAGGGGGATTACCAACAGACCCCTGGCAGTCTTCAAGCTGGCACTGGACAAGCACCTAAAGTCAGTTCCTGATCAGCCGGGCTGTGGCTCGTACGTTGGTTTGCGTGCAGCCAGCAGCAACAGCCTAGTTGATCAGGCTCTGATCCACCAGGAGGCCTTGTCACAGACCGGGCCGCGGGGGCGTTGACCCCCGGAACTCTCTCCAGGTAAACTCCAGGTAGGAGCCGCTACATACTATGTATGTGTTATGTATCACATAGGAGCCGCTGCATATTATGTATGCGTTATGTATCACGTAGGAGCCGCTACATACTATGTATGTGTTATGTATCACGTAGGAGCCGCTACATATTATGTATGTGTTATGTATCACGTAGGAGCCGCTACATATTATGTATGTGTTATGTATCACGTAGGAGCCGCTACATACTATGTGTTATGTATCACGTAAGAGTCGCTACATATTATTGTATGTTGGTTATGTAATCACGTAGGAGCCGCTACATATTATGTATGTGTTATGTATCACGTAGGAACCGCTACATATTATGTATGTGTTATGTATCACGTAGGAGCCGCTACATACTATGGATGTGTTATGTATCACGTAGGAGCCGCTACATATTATGTATGTGTTATGTATCACGTAGGAGCCGCTACATATTATGTATGTGTTATGTATCACGTAGGAACCGCTACATATTATGTATGTGTTATGTATCACGTAGGAGCCGCTACATACTATGGATGTGTTATGTATCACGTAGGAGCCGCTACATATTATGTATGCGTTATGTATCACGTAGGAGCCGCTACATATTATGTATGTGTTATGTATCACGTAGGAGCCGCTACATATTATGTATGTGTTATGTATCACGTATGAGCCGCTACATACTATGGATGTGTTATGTATCACGTAGGAGCCGCTACATACTATGTTATGTATCACGTAAGAGTCGCTACATACTATGTATGTGTTATGTATCACGTAGGAGCCGCTACATATTATGTATGTGTTATGTATCACGTAGGAGCCGCTACATATTATGTATGTGTTATGTATCACGTAGGAGCCGCTACATACTATGTGTTATGTATCACGTAAGAGTCGCTACATACTATGTATGTGTTATGTATCACGTAGGAGCCGCTACATATTATGTATGTGTTATGTATCACGTAGGAGCCGCTACATACTATGTAATGTGTTATGTATCACGTAGGAGCCGCTGCATATTATGTATGTGTTATGTATCACGTAGGAGCCGCTGCATATTATGTATGTGTTATGTATCACGTAGGAGCCGCTACATATTATATGTGTTATGTATCACGTAGGAGCCGCTACATACTATGTATGTGTTATGTATCACGTAGGAGCCGCTACATACTGTATAAGACGTATTATATAACACGTAGGAGCCGCTCATAGCACGTAGGTGCTATATATCACGTACAGGTTATATATCACATAAACATTGTTATATGTCACGTCGCAACTGTTATATAGAACGTAGCCACTGTTATATAGAACGTAGGCACTGTTATATACGTACCATGTATAGCGTCAGCCCTGTTATATAGAACGTAGCCACTGTTATATAGAACGTAGCCACTGTTATATAGAACGTAGCCACTGTTATATAAAAGTCAGTATAAGAAGACAGTTATATAGAACGTAGCCACTGTTATATAGAACGTAGCCACTGTTATATAGAACGTAGCCACTGTTATATAGAACGTAGCCACTGTTATATAGAACGTAGCCACTGTTATATAGAACGTAGGAGCCAACACGTAGGGCGTAGCAGTAGTTACATATCACGTAGAAGCTATTATATATGACGTAGCAGTTGTTATATATGACGTAGCAGTTGTTATATATGACGTAGCAGTTGTTATATATGACGTAGCAGTTGTTATATATGACGTAGCAGTTGTTATATATGACGTAGCAGTTGTTATATATGACGTAGCAGTTATATAAGTCAGGTCGTGGTTGTTCATAACACCAGCGCTTTATACACAGTAAATAACTTCTCCAGCATGAGTGTGTGGGTGAGTGAGAGAACCAGAGAGAGAGAGAGAGAGATATCTTACCTCCATGGCTGCTGCTGTTGTTGTAGTTGTAGTTGTTGTAGCAGAGATGTCGAGGGGTTGGTGTGGGCTGGAGGTTGGGGGAGGTTGTGAGTGAGTTTGGCAGGGAGGTGTCAGTGCCACAAGGATGAACGCAGTACTACCTTACTGACACTCACTGAACCTACGCTTTACAACTCCCGCCCCTCCCTCACCCCCTCCAATACTACCCCCACCCCTGCCATAACCCCCACCTACCACCACAACCCCCTTCACCACCCCCGCCACAATCCCCTCCTACCACCACCACAAACCCCTCCTACCACCACCCCCTCGACTACCACCCTCACCCCCGTCAACCCTCCTACCACCACCCCCCCACAACCCACCCTAACCCTCCTACCACCACCCCACCAACCCCTAGCCACAACCCCTCCTACCACCACCACAACCCCGTCCACCACCACCTCCACCCAGCCACAACCCTCTCCTACTACCACCACCACAACCCCCTCTTACCACCCCCACCCCCGCCACAACCCCCTCTGGGTGGCCTGGTGGTTAACGCTCTCGCTTCACACGGCGAGGGCCTGGGTTCGATTCCCAGCCAGAGTAGAAACATTGGACGTGTTTCTTTCAACCTGTTGTCTATGTTCCCCATCAGTAAAATGGGTACCTGGGTGTTAGTCGACTGGTGTGGGTCGCATCCCGGGACACTGACCTAATTTGCCCGAAATGCAGAGCATAACAAGGGAGTTTCTATATAGTAGTATGTCATTGTTGTCAGCTAGGACTGTATACCTTGTACATGTACTTGTAGTAAATAAAGATATTATTATTATTATTATTATTATTATTATTATCACCACCACAACCACTATCCCCTCTTACCACCCACACCCCCGCCATAACCCCTCCTGCACCACCACCACAAACCCCTCCACCACCACTCCACCCCCCGCCACAACCCTTACCTACCACACAACCCCCCCTACCACTACCACCCTTACCACACCATCACCACCACCCCAGCAACCCCCGATACCACCACTACCACCACCGCGCCACTTGAACAACACCCCACCCACCACCACCCATAACCCACACAACCCATCGTTCACCTCCCACGCAACACCACTTCCACTTTCACACCACACCCCCTTTTCCGATAAAACCTCCCCCTCCCCTTTCTCTATCTCTCTCAAATAACCACACGGGCACATCAACCCCCCCCCCCCCACATAAATACCCATCACCCACACCAGAAACGACGTCTCCCCGCCTTATCAGCAGCAATACAACTCTTAAAAATCTCAACGAAAGTCAAGGAAACAGACGAAGTGTATTGACAAGTGTGAGTGAGTGTGGTGAGCCAGTCCACTCAGCGAGCACACTACACACCACGCACTCTACATCACACTCTTAATAACGTTGTTTCACGCACTCTACACAACATCACTCTGCACAGGGTTGTTTCACGCACTCTGTACAACATCACACTCTACATAGCGCTTCACGCACTCTATACAACAACAGACTCTACATAGCGTCGTTTCACGCACTCTGCACAACTTCACACTCTACATAGCGTTGTTTCACGCACTCTATACATCACACTCTACATAGCATTGTCTCACGCACTCTACACAACATCACACTCTACACAGGGTTGTTTCATGCACTTTATACATCACACTCTACATAGTGCTTCACACTATACAACAGACTCTACATAGGGTTGTTTCACGCACTCTACACAACTTCACACTCTACATAGCGTTGTTTCACGCACTCTACACAACATCACACTTTTTTACTCACGTAGGGATCCCTAAGGAAATTCAAACAGATCAGGGGTCAAATTTTACATCTAAACATTTTTGCACAGTTTTGGTTGTGGAGCGCTCTCACTTGTCTCTCAAGACTATGCTGCATGCCTATTGTACCCAGTACGGAAGGACTAGGGGTTGATATTCACCGGAAGGACTAGGAAGGACTAGGATGAGGGTGTCCCCCTCCTTTTATTTGCTGTGCCGGACAGCACTCAGGACTCAGTACGCTATACTCCCATCGAACTGATCTATGGTCACCAAGTAAGGGGACCACTGATGATTTTGAAGGATCACTGGCTTGGTGAGGATTGTGAGGCTGCCCCCTTAGAGGATTTTCTTACTTTCAGAGACTGGCTCACATGAAGTGTGTGGCGGCTGAGAACCTGCACAACAGCCAAACCAAAATGAAGAGGCTATTTGGCCGCAAGACCGTGCCCTGTACCTTTAAAGTGGGAGAGGAGTTACTAGCATTGGAGCTGGTACCTGGTAACGCCTTGAAAGTGGGCCATACAAGGTAGTGGAAAAGGTCACAGATCAAAATTACAGAATTCACACACCCCTGGCAGTGGAAGTCTGAATGTGAGGTGCATATAAACAGGCTGAAAAGGCCTCAAAAAATGACCTCGAACTAGCAAGGTGCTTCTGGTTGTGCAATAAAGATGTAGAACTTTGGGCAGGTATCAGAAAGGTACTAAGGGAGAGTAAAAAATGATAAAAACAATCAAAAAAAAAAAGGGAAAGACCTCTGGAAGTCTCCCAAAAATATATAAAACAGGGGAGCAAGAGATAGTGTAAAAAAAAATGCGAAGCCCAACTACAACAAGACTTGAAACATCTAGTCACCCACATAGTGCTAACCAGCCCCCCCCCAGTCATGCACAATACCCCAGTGCTGGTGCGGCCCCAGGCTCCCCCGTCATGCACTAATACCCACATGCGGGTGCTGGCCCGGCCCCAGCCGCTGGCCCAGGCTCAGCCCCAGCCCCAGTGTGACTCAGACCCACCCCCTACCCTTACTCCCAGCCCAGACTCTACTAAGGACCCACCTAACACCACAAAACCCGTAATATACAACCCATCTTTTGCACAAGCCCCGTGGCCCCACAACAGATGTTAGAGAGGGTCTCCCCCTTTTTTCTGTGGGGAAAGTAGAGGGAAATCCAGGACGGGGGGGCCCTGGTTTGGAACTGAGGTTATAGTGCGCCCCAGAACCTGCAGAAATGACAACACACCTCCCAACAATTCTCAACCAAAAGGGTAAATTTGTTAAAATTATGCTTGGGGTATCGAAAATTATGGAATATCAGGAAAAAAAAAAATGGGCTTGCAATTTTGAGCACCCCCAAAAAATGAGCGAACTCCTGTCTAAAGGGGTGTGCGTTTTCTTCCTGTACTTTTTTCACCCAAAAATGGTCACTCCCCTCAGTCCCCCAGAAGCAGTGTTACAACATCGACTGCCCTGCATACCATCAAAAAGGGGCCGGGAGGCCGGGACCCACAAGACAAGCAATAGCAGCTCGACAACCCAACTCCAGGTGTTTTTTTGGGCAGGAAACGGAAAAAAAAAAAGAAAAATGGGGAAAAATAATAAAAATATTCCCCCCCCTTGGAGCCTTGTTGGACGGGGGGCGCAGCCGGGGCCCCCCCATGGCCCTCCAAAATTTACAATACTGATGCCAATAACAAAATCCCCCCAACAAAAACAGAAAACAACCTCTTCATATTTGCTAATTTTACAGGGCCCTTTAAACCCCCACCAAAAACAAAAACCCTTCTATCAGTGGGACTTCTAAGGAGTTAATGCAATGTTTGCAGCCTCACAGAGACCACATAAAGATCACTTTGAAGTGAAATATGGATAAGTGGTTACACCTTTTTAGTTTTCACAGAAAGAACAGGCAAACAAGGGGGGGGGGGGAGTTGGCCTGTATGTCAAAGAGTCCCTCATCTGCACGGAGTTGTGAACACCACAAATGAGGTAGTTGAATTTCTATCAATAAAGTCGAGAACCAAAACTGGGCATTGTGGTTTATATAAGCCACCAGATCAACCTCAAACAGTTTCAAGGGAAAAGTCTGAAAATTGTTACTGGGTTTTGGGAAAAACCCTTCCAGTCCTCCCCCCAAAATCTTTGCTTGGGGATTTCAACCTAAAAGACATACAAAATGGAAAAAATGTAGCAAAAAAGTTTTAGCTGAAACAATCCCCGGGGGGGAGTGCGATGAAAGGTCACACCACTGAGCTACTAATCTCTGCGAAAAAAAAAACACCTTAAGCCAGAGTAGGGAGCCAACAAGCTAGAAAACACCTTGACCTTATCTTCACAAAAAATGAGGACCCGATAAGAGACAAACAATATCAAAAACAACTAATTCCCTCACAAACCCAACGAAATCCAGATTACATGCATAGGGGTCTGATCAGCAGAATGCAGTACCTGTGAAGGTGTTTCCAAAAAAACAACTTCAACAACAAGAACATCAACGGCAGGTAAACCATGTCCTAAACGAAACATGTTTGGGGGGATGTCTTAAATGACATGGACCAAACCAGTGCCTTGAAAGGATCAACTTCTGGCAGCCGAAACTGTTTAGGGATATTCTCCAAAAAAAAGAAGAAGAGCAGGAGTAAATGGAGAGAGAAAGGTCCTCTCAGAAGACGACGAAGAGTCCGAGCTCCCCGGAGTGCTAGAATATCTGATACATGAAAGGGGCGCTGACCAGGGAAGGGGAAACTATGTACTTAAGTTAAAAGACCTTTCAGGGAAACCCGGGAGACAGGAGGAGCTTAAAACTGTTAGTAAAATTGAAAGAAATTAAAAAAAATTTTTTTTCTATGCAAAAAAAGGAAAAACCAATCTAATTGGGCCCTTACTCAAAAGGGTGGGGGTTACACAGATGACAAAAAAGGAAATGAGTGAAAAATTTTTTAAAACCTGTAGACTCGGTTTATGAACACAATCGGTCTGAGGATCGATGACCCAAATGTTTCTTCATGAAGAGCCCCAAAACTCATAAATGTATGCCAAAATACCGAATTACCCTAACTCCCATAGATTTCCCAAAAGCCAATGCACCGCCCCCCGGGCCCAGATTGGAACCTGTTTTCATTAAGAACTGCAAGAACCCCTCCGCATGCCATAGTATACTGTGGAGGAGGAGTTTGGACTGGTGAAATTCCACAGTCACTTAAAAAAAGGATATAGCCCCACTCCTAAAGGTGGCAGCAAAGCTTAGTAAAGCTAAGCCCAATACCTTGCGTCCCCATCAAAAAATTTTGAAAGAAGCTAAGAAGCGGGATTGCAAACCCCTGGATTCCCAAAATCTGCACAACCCAGGGCAACATGGGTTCGGGGGCGGGTCGCCCC